CCATTACCCTGTATAACTACATGCCCATTACCCTGTATTACTGCATGTCCATTACCCTGTATAACTGCATGTCCATCACCCTGTATAACTGCATGTTCATTACCCTGTATTACATGTCCATTACCCTGTATAACACAAAGTCCATTACCCTGTATAACTGCATGTCCATCACCCTGTATAACTGCATGTCCATTACCCTGTATAACTGCATGTCCATCACCCTGTATTACATGTCCATTATCCTGTATAACACAAAGTCCATCACCCTGTATAACAGCATGTCCATTACCCTGTATAACTGCATGTCCATCACCCTGTATAACTACATGTCCATTACCCTGTATAACTACATGTCCATTACCCTGTATAACTGCATGTCCATCACCCTGTATAACTGCATGTCCATCACCCTGTATAACTGCATGTTCATTACCCTGTATTACATGTCCATTACCCTGTATAACACAAAGTTCATTACCCTGTATAACTGCATGTCCATCACCCTGTATAACTGCATGTTCATTACCCTGTATAACATGTCCATTACCCTGTATAACACAAAGTCCATTACCCTGTATAACAGCATGTCCATTACCCTGTATAACTGCATGTCCATTACCCTGTATAACAGCATGTCCATTACCCTGTATTACATGTCCATTACCCTGTATAACACAAAGTCCATTACCCTGTATAACAGCATGTCCATTACCCTGTATAACTACATGCCCATTACCCTGTATTACTGCATGTCCATTACCCTGTATTACTGCATGTCCAATACCCTGTATAACAGTGTGTCAGAACCATCTGTCTGTTTATTGCTGGTGGATTCATCTATTTTGCCCTGTTCGTGTAAATGGCTGGTTCCTATAGCCCAGCCATACGAATGACGGTTTTTCCCAAACAAAACTACCGAACGCATGGCCACCCAGAAGAGAAGTGTGCTGCTGGTTAACCTATTGATCCCAATTAGAACGTTGTGGTTAACTGCAGACACTTCTCAATTAAACCGAATTCAGGGTGGTCGTCGTTCGTATGTCGACCACGAGGCAGCGGCCATTTTAAAACACGCGAAAGCCCAGCGGTGTTCGGCTCTATTTTCATAGAACTAAAAACGGACACTTTTTCTGCCGAACACCGCTGAAACAACGGAACACCTGGCTGCCTCCACGAAAGCATACGAATACCAGCCGTTCGGGAGTTTGGAAGCATATGACTCCATGGCGATTGAACTGTGTGGGATATGAGCGCTATTAGCTAATAATATGCACTCAGATCCAGGCTATCTGGGGATATGTGATACGAATGGGAAATGTTCGGTTTTTGTGAAGTTATATATTTTTATGTCTTTTATGATTTTATATTTAAAATGGCGACTGGCTTTGTCCTGGAGATAATTGAGTTACTCCTTAATTATCTCCAGGGCAGAGGGGAGGAAACCATAGTGCATTGTGGGTAAAATCTGTGACTGTGTGTCTGGAATGTCCCCAATCTGTCTGTCATTTAAGTCTCCCATTTGGTTACCCTCTGCAGTGTCCACCACAGTGGGAGGGTGGAGGATGGGGTTAGATTGCCGGCTGTGTCCGTCCCGCTCCTGCGGTGCCCGTTTCACCCGTAGCAGAGAGAGCGGCGGGTGGAGGATGGGGTTAGATTGCCGGCTGTGTCCGTCCCGCTCCTGCGTTGCCCGTTTCACCCGTAGCAGAGAGAGGGGCGGGTGGAGGATGGGGTTAGATTGCTGGCTGTGTCCAACCCGCTCCTGCGTTGCCCGTTTCACCCGTAGCAGAGAGAGGGGCGGGTGGAGGATGGGGTTAGATTGCTGGCTGTCTGTCCCACCCCTGCGGTGCCCGTTTCACCCGTAGCAGAGAGAGGGGAGGGTGGAGGATGGGGTTAGATTGCTGGCTGTGTCCGTCCCGCTCCTACAGTGCCCGTTTCACCCGTAGCAGAGAGAGGGGCGGGTGGAGGATGGGGTTAGATTGCCGGCTGTCTGTCCCACCCCTGCGGTGCCCGTTTCACCCGTAGCAGAGAGAGGGGAGGGTGGAGGATGGGGTTAGATTGCTGGCTGTGTCAGGGGCGGGTCAAACACAGCCAACAATCTAACCAAATCCTCCACCCACCCCTCTCTCTGCTATGGGTGAAACAGGCACCGCAGGGGTGGGTCACAGCACAGCCAGCAATCTAACCTCATCCTCCACCCGCCCCTTTCTCTGCTATGGGTGAAACGGGCACCGCAGGGGCGGGTTAAACACAGCCAACAATCTAACCCCATCCTCCACCCGCCCCTCTCTGCTATGGGTGAAACGGGCACCGCAGGGGTGGGACAGACAGCCAGCAATCTAACCCCATCCTCCACCCGCCCCTCTCTCTGCTACGGGTGAAACGGGCACCGTAGGAGCGGGACAGACACAGCCGGCAATCTAACCCCATCCTCCACCCTCCCCTCTCTCTGCTACGGGTGAAACGGGCACCGCAGGCGCGGGACAGACACAGCCGGCAATCTAACCCCATCCTCCTAGGGGTAGCAAGCAAAAATATTGCCAGTAAGGAACATTCCCTGCAGTAACCAAGCGGTAGCAGGAAGTGGCAGAAGAACCTCATCTTCAGAAGATTCTTCTTACCTCTACCTGGCAGGCACAGTAAGTTTAAATGCATTTCTTGTGTATTAGATTACTAATGGCTGTCAGGTTTCCCCCTTCCACCCCTCTGTATGTGCCAAGGATTTTGTATTTTGTATTTTTTTTTTTTCTTTTCCCCTTTCCCTTTAATGATTTTAAATTTTACCAGGCTTTTTTTCAGCTTGCCGCCATCTTGGCGGCGTCCTCCTGGTGCTCTGCGCCTGCGCGGGCTGCGGGCGCGTCATTCCCGGTCCCCACGCATGTGCGGTCCGGCGGCCGCGTCATGGCTTCTTCTGCGCATGCGCGGACCGGTGGCTGCGTCTGTGGACGTTTCCGCGCATGCGCGGATCAGGGGGTGCGTCATGCGGACTTCCGCGCATGCGTGGAGTAATTGCACACATGCGCGGAGCGTTCTTCCGGGTTCGCGGTGGCGTCATCGGTGACGTCATTTGCCACCTTTAAAAAGGCGCCAAATTCGAATTTTTTTACCTGTTTCAGGTTGCCTGGACTCCGGGGAGCTCTTGCAGCATCTTTTGTTCCAGTTTTGTTCGTTTATTTTCAAGCCTCCAGTTTTCTGTAACTCAGGTATGGTTTTATTTCTTAAAGGCACATTCCCTTTTTTCACAAATTGAATTTTTATACTTTTTTGGGTATAAATATTTCAATTCCTTCCTATATTATAACAGGGAAGATGGACAAATCTTTCTCATCAGACTCTGAGGCATCCGTTCATAAACTAAGGTCACAATCCAAAGGTTATAGGTAAGCCATTATTTTTCTCTCTCTCTATCTAGACCAAACAAAAGAGTGCCTGGTTTAATTGTATTTCCCTATTATGACAGCTCTACGGGAATTAAAGCATCCAGAACTTCCAAAGGCAAGTCGCCTATGAAGAAGAGATGCGAAGCCTGCAGCAATAAACCACTAGAAGGCAAACGTCTCTGCGCAGAATGCCTGTCTACAGCCGCTGGCGCTTCCACTACTGCCCCTACTCCAGATATGATGGAGTTTATCAAGCAGGCGGTCTCCCAGGGCATCAGAGAAGCTGGGAAGTCCCACAAGAGGCCCAGATTCGCTGAACCCTTGGGGTTTTCTCAGGAAGAATCCTCAGATGAGTCCTTAGACTCCTACAGGGACGGGCTATCCTCCTCTGAAGAAGAATCTTATGCCCAGAATTCATGGAGCCTGCTCAAGTTGATCATTTAATATCCAGAGTGCGCAAATCCTTGAGTCTCAAGGAAATATCCTCGGAGCAACCTTCTACTTCCAGTAGATATTTTGCTGATCTGAAGAAAAAGAGAGCCACATTTCCAGCTCATGAGACAATCAAGGAGCTGATTGAAGACGAGTGGTCTAATACTCGTAGAAAACTGACATCTCAAGGCAGAGTTGCTCGTCTTTATCCATTTGAGAGAAAAGACTCCAGCTGTTGGGATTCAGCTCCAAAGGTAGATGCAGCCGTAGTCAGACTGGCCAAACACACTACTCTACCGGTTGACGACGCAGGTTCATTTAGAGATCCCATGGATAGAAAAATGGATCTGAACCTCGCCAAGGCTTACGTGGCTGCAGGCACAGGCCTCCATCCAGCAGTCGCTCTCACTTCAGTTTCCAGAGCTTTAAAGATCTGGATGGAAAATCTAGAGGCAGGAGCAGATCCAGTCTTCTGGGAAGTCTAAAAGATATAAAACTTGCAGTAGACTTTACGTCTGACGCTTCGGTGGATCTGGTTAAGGCCTTTGCCAGAAATATGGCCCTCTCCGTTTCAGCCAGAAGGGCTTTATGGTTAAGATCCTGGATAGCAGATACCTCTTCTAAATCTAGTTTATGTGCCTTACCTTTCCACGGCGACATGTTGTTTGGAAAAAACTTGGATGAATGTATTAAAAGAGCAGCCGAAGGCAAAAGAGCTTTTCTCCCGCAGGATTGTAAACCCAGAGGTTCCTTTCGGTCCAAACGATATCCAGACTATTTTTCCTTTCGAGATGCCAGATCTTACAAGCCAGGAAGAGAGCATGGAAGATCCCAGCCTTGGAGAGGAGGACAGTCATCTACCAGAGGCGGTAAATCTAGAGGCGCCTCGTTCCACAAGAACCCCAGATCTTTATGACTGGTCTTCCCCCCAGTCAGTAGGTGTGGGGGCACGTCTGTTACTCTTCCAAGACGTATGGGAACTATCCACCACAGACAAATGGGTGTTGGATATCATGAGAAGAGGATATCGTTTAGAATTTTTCAGACCCCCTCCAGCTTACTCCTTTCAAACGACCAAATGGCCAGGAGATGCAGAAAAAAGACAGGCCTTAAAAGATTTCATCTCGACACTCCAGGAAGGAAATGTCATCATTTCAGTTCCTCAGCGACAGCAAGGTCAAGGGTTTTACTCTCACCTGTTTCTCACCAGAAAAGCTTCAGGTGGTTGGAGACCTATCTTAGACTTAAGCAGACTAAATCAGCATCTCCTCATCCGGAAGTTCAAGATGGAGTCTATTCAATCCATCATAAAGGTCATTTTTCCACACCAATGGATGATTTCTATAGACTTGGCAGACGCTTATTTCCACATCCCCATCGCTCCAGAACATCAGAAATTCCTTCGGTTTGCGGTGGAACAAGGGCATTTTCAATTCCGAGCCCTACCGTTTGGTCTCAGCACAGCTCCAAGAACATTCTCCAAGGTCTTGGTTGTTTTGATTGCGGAGCTCAGGAAAAAGGGCATAGCCATTTACCATTACTTAGACGACATCCTCATCTTGGCAGAAGACACAGATACCCTTCAGACCCATGGGCAGGTTTGTCTACGTTTTCTACGCCGTCATGGTTGGAAGATAAACGAGAACAAGAGCCAATTACAGCCGGTTCAGGAGATGAAATATTTGGGGGCCATATTCAACACTCTAGCAGGCACAGTGCAACTGTCTCCAGAAAGAGGTACGAAGTTGATGAACAAAGTCAAAGACATGTTGGCATCCAATGTGACCTCAGCAGAAAGATGCATGAGCCTGTTAGGATCAATGTCCTCCACCATCGGACTGACAAGATGGGCCCAATGGAGGATGAGGATTTTCCAGAAGAATTTCATCCTTCAATTCAGATCGAGAAGTCCACTTCAGCCTATCAAGATTCCCCCTCAGGTCCATCAATCTCTGATTTGGTGGTTACAGAAGAAATCCCTGTTCAGAGGGTTTCCATTGGGGAACATCACATGGACAGTTATTACCATGGACGCAAGCCAGTGGGGATGGGGTGCTCACCTACAAGATCAGTTTATCCAGGGGAAATGGTCCTTTCCAGTAACAGAGACTCCCTCCAACCAATTAGAGCTTTTGGCAGTTCTAAAAGCTCTAGAAATTCTCCTTCCCCTCGTACGCTTCAAGTGGATCAAGATCAGATCAGACAATTCCACTGTAGTTGCCTACATAAACCATCAAGGGGGAACAAGGAGTCGGAAAATGATGTCCATTATGAAGCCCCTAATGTCCTTCTCCCAGAAGCATCTAGCGGGCCTATCGCCGATCCATCTTCTGGGAGTCCAGAATTCCATAGCGGATTACCTTAGCCGAGTGGAATTAGATCCAGGGGAATGGAGTCTGTCAAACAAGGTGTTCGAAGACATCTCTCAAGTATGGGGCGTGCCACAAGTCGACCTTATGGCAACACACAAGAACAGGAAGGTGCAGCACTTCTTTTCAAAAAACCGATCCCCAAGCATCAGGAAGGGATGCTCTTTCAATCGATTGGGAATTTCACCTAGGTTACGCATTTCCTCCTACACCCCTCACCTTTCCTCTTCTGAGACGATTGAGGCAGGAGAAGGTATCCATCATCGTCATAGCCCCCTTTTGGCCTCGCAGGCCATGGTTTCCTCTATTGTTGAGCCTCTGCAGTGCAGACCCCTGGCAGCTTCCAAATATTCCTTCCCTTCTACATCAGGGTCCTGTCCTCCACCCAGACCCTGCCTCCCTCAAGCTGATGGCATGGAGATTGAAAGGGAAAGGTTGAACTGCAA